TTATCATATGGCAGCTCTCACTTTTACACTTACCACAAATTATTTTCAGCTAAATGCGCCATCCGAGTGGCCCAGTGGAACCAATGTTCTTACTGGGGGGCCTTGGACATTGAACTCCATAACAGAGTCTTTTTAGGATGCCGCAACATATCTTGCGCAGTCTGCCGATCCGTCGCCCACTCTACCATTACATGCCCTCTAATCAACCCATCTATTCCCCCCTGCCCCGAGCCATCCCAGCCCAAATCCACCAGCTATGTCCCGCGTCTCCTAGACATCCCAACCACCCCCTTTCCCCCCACTTCCACCTATCGCCGCCGCTCAGCTCCCTCTGATAGCCAGGTCTGCGCCAGTTTTAATACTGGCAGATGCTCAAGGCAGCGCTGCCGTTTCATGCATGTAAGCAATTTGTGTGGCGGCGCTCACTCCCGCTTGATATGTCCAGTACAAAAAGCTGCAAATAAAAATGTTAAACAATACTTATCGACTCCTGTAAATGTTTCTCGTTTGTCTTCAGAATTGCTTCATCACCCTGACCCCCTTTTTACGGATTATCTACTATCGGGTCTCTCTCATGGCTTTCACCCCGGTGTCGGAAAACTGCCCTCCCTAAGCCTCATCTGCCCCAATCTCCAGTCCGCTCTCGCTGAACCCGAAACAGTCTGATTTTTGGCATTTATTTGGCATCCGCTGGCATAATAAATTTGACTTTTCCGTCCACCTCACTTTCGGCTGCAGAAGCAGCCCAAAAAATGTTCTACATGTTGTCAGAGGCAATCTGCTGGATCCTCTCCAACAATTACGCAATACTCTACCTGATCCATCTTTTAGACGATTTCTTCATCATCTCACCTCCTGACTCCATCCCAGCTGCACATCTTTTGACAACTCAAGAGGTTTTTGCAGAGCTCGAGATTCCTCTCCCCCAAGACAAAACTGCGGGCCCGAGCACCTCCATCGAATTTTTGGGTATCAACTTAGATTCTCAAAAGTTCCAGGATTCTCTGCTGAAGGAAAAAATTGATAGGACGATCTTGGTCACTTCCACCCTCTTAGAAAACCCAAGCTGCTCCAAACGCGAGCTGCTATCCATTCTCGGTCATCTGAATTTCGCGATGCGCATCATCCCGCAGGGGTGATCCTTTCATCTCACATCTCCTCTCTCTCGCGTCCTCCGCCCACGTACTAGAGGATCGAGTATCACTAACCGACTCATGCTGCAACGAGCTCAGCTTATGGATATTCTTTCTCAAACAATGGAACGGCCTATCTTTCTTTTATAATAACTTAATTTCTTCTCCCATCGACATTCAGTTATTTACTGACGCCGCCCCCTCTGTCGGTTTCGGAGGATTTTACCAAGGCCGCTGGTTTGCATCTACGTGGCCCCCCCAGCTGTTAGACTTACCACAACAGCTAAAATCCTCAGCTCTATTTGAGCTATTTCCCTTAGTCGTCGCAGCCCTTCTGTGGGGTAAGGAGTGGTCCACCACCAGCATCATTATCCACTGCGACAACGAAGCTACTGTGCGCTGCATCAGTAAAGGCCGTTACCATTCACCCACCCTAATGCCTTTATTAAGACGCCTGATTTGGATCTCGGCTTGTGACCAATTCCTTGTTACTGCAAAACATATTTCTGGTTCAAAAAACCAAATAGCTGACTCTCTCTCTCGCTTTGCCTTACAGAAATTCAGAACGTTGGCACCAGAGGCGGATCCAGTTCCAACCCCAGTACCTCCCTATTCAGAACTGATTTTCCCATAAATCATCCACTGAGACCTCTCCTCGTAGCTTCCCTCAATTCTATTCTTTAAGCCGTCTCCCCCAGGACCCTACAATCCTACCTAACAGCTTGGAAGTGCTTTAAAGCATTTCACTCTGCCTACAATCTGCCATTCCCCGACTTTTCCTTGCTCGCTATCACCTCATTCATCTCTCACCTTAACATCAACAAAAACCTACAAATCAGCTCCATTAAGGGTTATCTAAGCGGAATCCAGTTTTTTCACAAACTCTTATACGGTTCACCCTCACCCCAGATAGACAATTCTCAGACCTCCCTACTCATCAGAGGTATCCAAAGAGCCCATCCCACCCTCCCAGACACCAGGCAACCTGGTGTATAAAAACTAATAAAAATAGCAAAAACAACTAAATTACTAAAATTTTAACTAAGATTAAAATAAGAACTGTAAAAACTAGTAAAAACTATTAGTAAAAACTAATTCAATATATTATTAAAAACTATAGTATCACCATGATACTACAATAACAGTTACAGATACAAAACCAGCATCAGGGTGTTTGTATTTTTGGATTTTCTGACTGTTTTTTAGCATGTTGCTATGTGATTGCTAGGGTGTTCTGGGTGGTTGCCAACCACAGTCAAAAGATCCCACCTGCAAATCCCCCATTTTAGTGTCTGCTAAGCCAAAAAGTTCCATCCAATCTTTTTTTGGGGGTCTGTCGAAATCCCTAATCTTATATATGAGCAACATCATGCAAAAGCTTGATTGATTTACAGTTTGGATGCATTTGAAAAAGTTGAGATTTGCCCAACAGACTCTATGATACAATAAAGCAGCCAAGGACAACAGACAATACGTTGTGAATGGAACAAATGGAGTAGAATTTCCTGGTAAATTATTACTGTCTAAGCGCCAAGTCACTTGTTGAAATATTCATTTGTTCAGATTTGCTTCACAAAACCAGAGTTCTTAAAGAAGCAAAAAAAGTCAACTATAGAAATGATCTGATGTCCAGAATTGTTCCATAAATGTATGCTATGCTATATCTAATGGCTGTAGTGTAAAGGATAGTGGGCATAAAACCTCTCTACAGCACAATGGGCTGTACTCGCTTTAGTGCTGCAGGTCCTGTCAGGTGAGGCTTCTAAACTGGGATCTAGTGCCCATTTTGGCTGCTCTGAAAACAGCCTGCCTGCCTGCCTCCAAAGCATTGCCCCAGGTCTCCCCAGCACATGTATTTTGCATTATGCATAGTCTACATTGCATCAATAATTCAGAAAGTACATCCAGATTTCCTCAAGCCTTGGGGACCAGAGCTCCTGCTTCCATACCTGTCTGAACATCCAAGGCTGAACCTTGATCACATTTTTGCTGTGTGTGTGTGTGTGTGTGTGTGTGTGTGTGTGTGTTTTATGAGCTGTCTGTCAACATGTGTGTGTTAGCGTGTCACTGTCTGTGAAGGTTTGGTTCAAAACACAACGAGAAGGACCTTTTACAATCCCTGCGTCCGAATAAGTGCACCTCCTTCCTAAACAGAGCAAATAGCAGAACGTCAAATGAGAAGGATGTCTGAAAACTCAGTATTCATGATGAACAATATAGGATGACCTACTGGGTATGATGAGATTCTGAAGCACACAACCAGTGAACACTTTGCTATCCCATAAATATGTGATACTTTTTTGTCCTTTAATTTATTTAGTGCATTAATTTGTCAAATAGTACACTGAAATGCAATTCATACATCCAATGACTTTAATACATTTCTTCTTTGATGGACATGCTTTAATTTTTTGTTTTTTAATTAAAATTAATTTTGAAATTTTTGGGGGGCTTAAAGCACAAAATGTTAGGGTAGTACAACTTGATAAGTTATTTAATTATTTGCATATTATTACTGAATAATTTAAGTATTATTAGTAGTAGTAGTAATAGTAGTGGTAGTAACAGGAAAAAAGAATAAGCAATCAAGCATTGATTATAAATATTTGAAAAAGTTTTCTTTAAAAAAATTAAGTCATGTGGTGCGACCAACATGTAGAAAAAAATTACAAAGTACATTAAGGTCAATGTCAAGGTCACATATCACGTTATTTGGCCCCTTTATTACAATGCAAGTTTAGCTTGTAAAATGTCAAATGGTGTGACTCCTAAAAAATGTAATGTTATTTATGAATGATTAATTTATGATATGTCTGAAAAGTACTGCGCACATGTATTTCATGTAAATCATGTTTTTCAGAAACAGTTTAATACAACTTTCATCCAATTCACTATATTCTGTAAGAAAGTACAGGAACCAGAACATGTTTTTGTATTATAAAACATAAACAGTTAAAAATCATTATAGGTAATCTAAATACATCTGAAAACTTTATTTTTTGCCTACGTGTTAAGTTGAAAACAAAACATTTGAAAAGTTGAAGTACTACCATTACAGAAACTACAAAAAGACAAAACCACATAAGATACTAAAACTTCACTCTAAAAATGGCGGATTGTTGGGTTAAAAATTAAATTAAAAAATTTAACCCAAAAGTTGGGTTAGTCCATATTTGACCCAAAATTGGATTGAAACAACCCAGCATTTATTAGAGTGTTAAATTAAAGAGAACACAGAAAATATAAAAACAAAAGTGAATTCAAATATATTTATAAAAACTATAATAGTAAATAACACTGAAATCAGATGTAGCCAATTACCCACAGAACCTATCAGCAAGCTCACAAAATCTAGTGGAGTAAAGTTGGTGAATGTCATCTTGGATTTTATCATTCTAAGTTGTCTCGCTTGGCTTTGCCTTTCTGTGAGTCATGCATTTTAATAATCAGCAATGCCATAATCAAAGCTTCTATCTGGATGTAGGCCTACATAAATCAGATCTTCTCCCAATTAGCGGAACAAAGAAAACAGAAGAAAACGGCTTGTTGCGATGAGATAAAATGTGAGTCCATTAAAATGGCGAAGACAAACAAAAACCTCACCATCCGCAAGAGTGCACATTTTCTAAAACGCTAATGCACTTCTGCAAACAGATAAACCAATTAAACAGAGCAGCAGACATAACTGGATACAAAACAGACGGGTTTGCACGCGCGCACACACACACGCGTATCTGGCACACATTATGGAGGCAGGTGTAGCAGCAACCTGACACCCACACGGAACCGGATTAGCGATGCAGGCCGAGATGCGGGCTGTTCTGTTTGACCGCTGCTCAGGGGACGAGACCTGATTATCAATGAGCATAGCACTACTCCTCCCCTGCCCTGCAGGCCTGCTCCTATGCTCAGCACTGCGTGTCAGAGCTTGTTAGGGCAGCCGGAGCCCAGAGAGCAGAGCGGGACGGGTCCGAAGAGCAGAAGGGGGTTTCAATCACAGTCAGTTCCTCCCAGTTCCTCCCCCC